GGTTTCAGACAGACTGAAGCTAACTGGGCACACAAATATCCATACCATTTTTAAAATATCCACTTTTAACCGTCCGTACATCATGTCATCCAGAGCTTGTTCTGTGCTGAGCTCAGGGTCATCACCCTGAAACAAACGGACATAAACTCACCAGTTTGGCACAACTGACCTTCTTTTGTTTGTTGAACATAAGATACATTTTATGCTTTTGTTTGTTTTTGTTTAATATAAAATGACCGTGTCTGTCTATAAGAATTAAATGTGCAAAATGTGTATAAAAGGATTTGAAGAGTTCCTAAATGTYGATCAAGAAAATATAAAAAGAGATRACAACAAACGTGAGCAGCCAGATTAGTTTCCTCCTTCAGCTTCCTCTCCTCCTCCTCCTCTCTCTGCTCCGGGGTGAGGTATTTTTCTGCTTTAATCTGAAGGGGATGAGGGGGGGTGGGGTCAAAGGCGTTATCACATGGCGATAATCACACGCTAGCTCACAAGTCGCAATCAAAGCAAACAAACAAACAAACAAACCACACAGGAGCCCAGCATGCACACACAGCTTCGCTTGTTTTCAACTTTGCGTGACCCGCGTCCACTGGCTGGACACTCTGTGAGAGGACAGTAACCTCAGAGTCGTCCACGGTGAGCAGCCTCTCTGGACACTCGCTGTCCGTCAGGCCGGGCTCCCACAGATCCTGCTGCGTTTCCAGCTCCTGCGCGACCTCCCTGATCCGTTTGTTCCTGTCCCCCACCWGCTTCAGCTCCTGCAGCTTCCGCCTGCGCTGAGCTTCAAACTCSGCGTTGAACGCCATCTTGATGCCATAAATCACATCCTGCATTTGGAGTTGAGTGGAGGAGTAAATAATTATTACAATCTGGATGACAAGAGCCATAAATAAAAGAGTCTGTGTGYAATTTAAATAACTGTGTGGTTGTTKTTTTTTTTAAGCGTGTGTTTTGAATGCTGCTGAATCTAAAAGCATGGCATTCACTTGTTTGCTGAGATTCACCTGYAGCAGAATCGTCTGATTGATCCTCTGTTCTGTGGTTTGCAGGCTGAACTGGTCGTAGATGTAAGGGCTGGAGCGCTCAAACTGGGCTGAGGAGCTCGTCGTGGAAGCAGCGCTCCCCTCCTCGCGGCCCTCCGCCTCCTGGTTTTGCTCCTCTGCATCCGAGCTTTTGTTTTCGCCGCTCGGCTGCAGGTTCAAGGCGGAAGGACGGCAAGAGAGGCAGACGTGAGTGTGGAATCAGGATTTGAAAACCCAGTCAAAGATCACGGCAGAGCAGGGRCTTATTGCAGCAACTTACTTCGGGCCTCACAGCTGTAAATCTGAAAGACGTTTCAACACTTACTGGACTGGCGCATTTTCAAGTATTTGGAAAAGYTACAGCGGTAAAAGGTCAGATGAAGGACTGTGAATCAAAGCATCTAATTATTTTCCTGCAGTAAACTTGTTTTGACTTGACTGGGTTTTGGAATAAAATGTACTTTAAGAAAAAAAAGATCCATTAAAAAAAGGTACAAGTTGCACTGCCACGCCCTTTAGAAAACATTCAGTTTCTTCTTCACTCACAGCGAACATGGATTCCATCACTTCTAACTCAGAACTTGACTTTGTTTGCTACATCAGTCTAAATTTAATTTAAACTCAAACCACCATCTTTCTTACGGTGCAGGCAGCCTCTTCGAGTTTCCTCATATTCTGGACCCGGTGAAGCTCCTCCAGTTTGCTCTGAGCTCGCTCCTTCAGAGGGTAGTTCCATACAATCATTTCAGAGTGGAAGGCCTGCAGAGAGCAGCGAATGATTCAAGACTAATAATAAAAGAAACAAACGTCTTATTTAGAATGTTATTCTACCTTGATGGCCCTGCTTTTCACCATCCAAGAGTCCCAGCACTTCCACTTCAGGACGTCGCGGAGGTAACACGTCTCTGCGATGCTCTGCTCAGTTTCAGCTCGCACCTGTACAGCATGAGGGTAAGAAGGATGAGTCTGAGGCTCAGTTCATGTTTGATTGTCTTTTTAGGTTTTGGTTGCGTGTACCCGCTCAGCTTCCTGCTCCACCATGTCCTCCAGTCTCCTCTGCTCCTCCACGTCTAGGTTGAACTGCTCTACAGGGAGGCTGTCATTTTCACGGAGCATCTTCTGAAGCTTAACACCCAAGAAATAAAACGTTTTTTTTTCCTCTGCTCTCTGTGTGTTTTATAAGAGAATGGATCCATTTGCAGCTTTCGTTAATGTTGAAATATTATGTTTTGACTGTGAAGTTTTACCAAAGTAAAAAAAAAAAACACAGATGCGGTTTTTATTTTAAACTGGTTTGTRAGTCGCCGCTATTATTTTATCTGATCCTGATAAAGTTGATCTTTTCACGGGAGAGCAAAAGCAAAGCTCACTCACAGAGTCACGTATCTGTCTGACAGCTTCCCTCAGGCGTTCTTTTTCCTCGCAACGCTCATTGTCTTCTTTGAAAACCTGTGAAAATTAATTTTTTTTAAAAATCTGCTTTTTTTTCTTAAACAAGTAAAAGCGCACTTTTTTGAAAGTGTCCCCTTTCACCTTTTTGACCTCGTGATGCTCACATGAAAGCCCTCCCACACAATTAAGATCAGTTTCTCTTTGCCCAAACACTTTGCCAGGTGAAAACATACGAGCAGGTTTTTACAAGCCATCATTTGTCATCTTCGCGTCAGTGTACAACTTGTTAATTAGCCGCATAGCTCTTTCTGCAGAGGCTGATAAACCGAGCAGCTGCAGGCCAAAAACAGCACAACTATCAAACACAGGTGGGAGGTGCTTTCGTAACCCACAACCTACAACATAATTGAGATAGAAGATAAATATCTATATGTGTTTAACATCATCTGAATCTTCTGCCTTTGCCAAAAATATTACAGCTTGGCACTGACTTTATCTCTTTTGTTTTCCAACCACGTCAGATCCGAGGGCGGGGCAGACGACGAGATGCTGATCCTCTCTTTTTCAGTTGAATTTACAGATGTTTGAACTTGGACCTGTACATTGTAAACAATACAGAATAACCCCAAATTAAAATATCAACAAAATTTTTCTATTGTTCAGAAATTCTTTAATTCAAACCAGTTTTATTGATTTATTTAACGGGACAATTCAGGTAAACATTGTGAACACAGAGTACATCTGATGTTCCCGCAAAATAAACTCCAAAAAGCACAAAAAGCTACAATTTGAGCAAAATATAATGAGATAAATATAACTATACAGAATGCCAAGGATGTGGAGTCCAGTTGGGCATTTTCTGCAACTTATTTTACAATACTAAAACCTTAAAAGAGAAAGAATTCTAAACATTTACAATATTTTTTTCTTAAAACGATTAAAAATTAATTTTTTATTGTTCCATTAGCATATAGGAGCATTTAGGGGCAATTTGGGAAATTCTTAGTTTACATTACTTTTCATCAGGTGTATTGAATGTATTAAAATCATTTTCAGCATTTGAAGTGTACAGAACAAAAAAAGGCAGAGTTACCTCTCCATCCTGGATTTTTGTGCTGCCTTCATCCCAAACAGGAAGTTTAACGAGGACAGGGTTTTCAGAATCAAAAACTTCCTTCAAGGCTGTAAAGTGGCTAAACTGGACGGCCCTATTCACCTTTTCTTCATCCACATCTTTAATTCTGAATTGTCAGGGGGGAAAAAAAACGCGTACTGTCAAAAATACTCAGCATTAGTCAAATAAATTGCCACTGTGTTATCTGCGTTTGATTTTAAATGGAAACAGAAAACTATGGCAAACACACAAAATGTCACAAACCATCATTTTTACATTGACTTMATTTTAATCGGAAGGCGGGAAACAAAGAATCAACAAGGGATTCATGAAAAACAAACACTGGGAAACTTCTTGGGAAAATAAAAACAGTGCCGGAGTCAGACAGGGAGAACATTTTTAAACTAAAATATGCGCAGGAGCAAGGAGTGGGGAGGGGGGGGGGACGGCAGATGTGGAATGTGAGTGGGATGTTTGTCAGAGAGACRCGATTTTTATTACACTACATCTTTGTTTTCCAGCAGATTAGGGTCACGATTCCCCCTGAAACCAGATAGCACCACCCACTGGACCTAAAGCGGTGTTTACGTTTGTCCCCCCACTGCTGGTGGAATCACTCGTAAACATGCTACATACGATGGTGAGCAACAGTTCCCTCTGCTGCTCACATCTGTGCGTGCACCGAGTCCATGCCTTACCTGAGACGAGTACAGACAAGAGAGCCGTCGTTGAAGCCAGTAGTGAGGAGYGTGAGTCCGTCTGAGGAGAATGACACACTTCGGCCTCCACCCAGACGACAGGAGTGACACAGTAGCTCAATGTATTGCTCCTGCAATTGTAACACTGTTATAAACACCCAAACTAATAAAGAAAAAAAAAACAGAATAAGTACTTACTATGGAGTCAGTTTGTCTGATTCGTAGTAAGCCATCCCGGCCTGCAGAGGCCAACCAGAGGCAGCTGGGAGACAGGAGGACAGAAGCAGGGCCCAGTGGGTGACCTTTCACTTCCTGCATTGGCTTMAGCTGGACCAGCTCTTGGCTGGTTCCACCCTCTGTCTCCTGCGAGGACAAATCAAGGCTTAAAACAATATATACACAGAGGTGGGTAGTAAGTAGGTACAATTACTTGAGTRGCTTTTAGGRGTAGTTTTACTACATCATACTTGCTTGAGTAATATTATAATGAATCATCCCTACTCTTTCTTGAGTAAAATTTCTGAATACCCACCGTAACTTCACTGAATGAAGAAAAACATATTTTAATAAGAAATGCAGCAGAGAGACACGCCTACAGTTCATGTGACTTGTCTTGTATATATCATTACATTACTTATTATAGGTATTAGTTTCATAGTGAAAACTTTTACTTGGAAAAGTATTTCTTCTGCTAGAGTTTGTTATTTTGTATTTATGTTATTTGCATTTACATTCTTAATTTCAGTTTTTACAAAAACCAGGATTTACACATAATTTTCTATTTTTGTCAGTCTGACATCATTTTAAAAAAATTCCATAAATGTTATGATCACAGTACTCAAGTAGCCTCTTTACAAAATATTTTTTTTATTCTTACTTGAGTAATTTCTTGGTCGGCTAATTTTTACTTTTGCTTTAGTAAAAATAGGTTAAATGAGTGCTATTCTTACTTGAGTAGAACTTTTGTGTGCTCTACCCACCTCTGTTTGTACTCKTCAATATAAAAAAATAACACTTAATTGTAAAATCACAGAAGAAAATAAAAACACATCTTGTAAGCTGCAAACCTCAGGAAGCTGAAAGCGCTGAAGTGATTTTTTCCTGTCACAGTAAGCAAAGAGCTCACYGGCTCCAAGTGCACAGGATGTGAGTGGAAGTGGCACTTTGTATTTGAACGTTGTGAGCACGTGAGGAGACAGACAACCGTGACGGTCTACACAATCTGGACCTGCAGGACGCACAACATGACATACAATCAAAAGAGTRTTAAATATATTTGGGTGGGCAGCAAAAGCTATATCATATACAAGCTATTTTAAACTTATAAAGTGCTGACGCATGACTAACTTCTGCTGAGTCATGCTGAGTGGGTTGTTCAGCAGTTCTATAAGCTGCTGTTTAAACAAAGGTGGGGCTTTTCAAAGTGCAAAGTCAGAGTGATTTTTTATTAGTTTCAGTGCAAAAAATTTATACTAATCAGTCCATTAATCATTGTTATCAGTTACATAAAAATGTCTTTCCATTGGGTTACATAATTATGAAAGTTATGAAATAGGCTGTCAAAGCATTAAAGCACTAACAACAAAGAGCAAGGAGATATGGCTCAAAAAGTCATGAGTCACCTTGCAACCACTTCCTCACCCACAGGATCTGATAGTGGTGTAAGAGGCTAGTTCAGTGGTTATACATATATATGTAGGTGCAACAATACATGTACCCGTATCGAACCGTATCGAACAGAGCTTTAGGTTCAATACACACTTGTATCGAACAATACAGATTTTTATAATTTACTTTATCAACATG